ATATGGAAGGTTATGTCAGCATTTTGCTATATTATGCTCTGTGAATTTTGGAGTAAGCGTCGGAAGTACGCTGAAAAAATTTTCCGAACGTTTATTTGGATCGTGACATCTCTTTCCCTTTACAGTAGCGAATGTTGGACGGTCTCCTCTAAGAGACTCGAGGCGACGGAGATGTAGTTCTAGAGAATGATTCTGATGATATCATGGACCGAGCATGTGAGCAACGATGAGGTTTTGGAGAGGATGCAGACAAGGAGGAGGCTCATCAGGAAGAGGCAGCTGAAGTTTCTAAGACACGTAATGAGAAAGGAGGGCTTGGAGAATCTGATACTCACGGGTCAAATAGAGGGAAAGAGAGACAAGGGGAAGCAGCGCGTGACATACCCGGCGGGTTTAAGCAGGTGGATGACAGAACGTGGTCTGGGGGAGGAAGCAGAAGGAAGGAACTTGCTGAGAGCTGCAAGAGATAGATGGAGAGCCATGATCGCCTACGTCCTGAAAGGACATGGCACATAAAAAGCTTTAAATGTTGATTTTTGAATGTCCTCTGCGTGTTGGGGTCGTCGCCGCTGTTGTCGCCGCGGTCGTCGGACACATAGCGGTGGTAAGCGGTCAAATTGAAGGCTTATACTTAACATCAGGAAGAGGCAGCTGAAGTTTCTGGGACACATAATGAGGAAGGAGGGCCTGTAGAATCTGATACTCACAGGTCGAATAGAGAGACAAGAGAAAACAATGCATGACATACATGGCGGGATTAAGCAAGTGACTGACAGAACGTGGTCTGGGGAAGGTGGCAGAGAGACAAAACTTATTGAGAGCTACAAGGGATATGAGGTAGTGGAGAGCCATGATCGCCTACATCCTGAAGAGACAAGGGAAAGCAAGTGGCTTAGGTGGGCTTAAGCAAGTGGATGATAGAACAGGGTCTGGGAGAAGTAGCAAAGGGACAAAACTTATTGAGAGCTACAAGGGATAGGAGGAAGTGGAGAGCCATCATTGCCTACGTTCCAGAAAGTACAGGCACATAAAAAGAAAGCGCTATTTCTTTGGGCGGTCAAAAATTGGTTTGGCAGATTTCGTCAGGGTGATTTTTATTTAAGCGAAACGGTCAGCCACGTCTCTGCGACCTTCCGACATCGGAAAAGAAAGATACGTTGTTGGCTATCGTGGAGAATAAACCGAACATTTCGGCAGAAGAGATTACTAAGCGTTTGAAGATCGATATCACAAGTTCCTTTCAATATTTGAAGAGGCTTGGGTTAAAGAAAAATAACCGACTTTTGCAAATGGAAGACTCTCTAGCACCTACTGTATTTCCTTCTGATTTTCATTTGTTCTGGTATCTACAGAACAATTTTACTGACAAAACACTGACTCTGTACTGTCAGTCGAAAACTGTCTCACAATCTTCCAAGAAAAACAAACTTTCTACGAAAATGACGCCAACAAACTTGTAGAACGATGGGAGGCAGTTTAAAAAAAATGGGGACTACGTACTTGACTGATAAATGTTTTATGCACCATTTTGTTTTAAATTTTATAATCGGGTATAAACTTTTGCAATAATCTAATATTTTTATTTTATCTCATGCAGATAGTCATAAAGTCAATGTCCAGTTTATGATGATAAAGTGAATTTAGGTTAAATTAGCAAAAAAAAAAACCCCAAAAAACAAAAACAAAATGGCTACAAAAAGCGAATTTTGGTATGAATGGCCCAAAGGGAACGAAAAGAAAAATTGAAACGACTCTGCGAAAAATATGTAAATATTTTAGATGTTTTTATTTTAAATATTTTTTGTTTTAAAATTTTATTATTTTTATTTTTTAAATTTTTATTTTAATTAATTTTTTTATTTTATATTTTCATTGAATTTTTTTTATTCTTACAATCGAAAATGCTACGACTAAATTATCGGCGAAAAACTTTAATTTTTTAAATATACAATTTTTTATTGAAATTTTTTTATTTTAACATTTTTATTTTTTTTATTTTTAAATTTAAAATGTTTTTATTTTAAATTTAAAAAAAATTACAAAAGAAAATAGTACAACTAATTTCTTGGCGAAAAACACGTTAATTTTTAAGTACTCAAAATATCAAATAATTGTAAGATTTATAATTAAAAGAGAGAAAAAACTTGTCATCCCAACGAATGATATATTTTTTTTAATGTAAATATTTCGGCTAGCAGTTGCCAGTCTAGGTCACTCCTTAATTTGAGTAAAAACCGTACAAATAGCCGAAATATTTCCATAAAAAAATCATTCGTTGAAATTACAAGATTTTTCTTTCTTTTAATTATGCAACTAGCAACGGAGACAAGCATCCTAACTTTGAAAAAAACATTTACTTGTAAACCAGAGAACGAGTTGGCTGAAAAATTGTTAATGAAACAATAACAAAGATGAGGATAACACCTCAAAATCATTTAATACTAGAGTATTGATTTTCATATGACAAGTGTTTTAACATGTTGACTGACAGAGGTCAATTACAAAATCTGATTTCAAACGTCAACTTTATAATAGCCAATGAAGGTAATAAAAAATTTTATGAGTTGATTTATAGCTTCAATTGAATTCTTAACATTATTTTTATACTAAAAGTATCAATGCGAATAAACTGGTTGTTGGTGCCCACAGATGAAAGTTTATCAGAAAATGCTAAGTACAAGATAACCTTTAGTTGGTGTAATAATAAAAACTACCAATCACAAGGTATTTTGTGATTTGCAGTCAATGTGTTAATGTCAAAGCTTTTCCTTATGCCCTACCCAATCCAAGACTAAATATATATCTCTTCTTGGACAAAAAAGAAATTAATAGTTTTGATGTTAGCCTTTGTATATTATTCATCATCAAAAACATTTCTTTAAAACTAGTTTTAACCCATGAAAATTTCACGGTTTTCCTATTTTAATTTTCTTGCATAATTAAAAGAAAGAAAACACTTGTAATTCCAACGAATAATTTATTTTTTTATGGAAATATTTCGGCTAGCAGTTGCAATAGCATAGATGCAGAACAACTTCATCCTGTCTGGATATTTTCGCTCCAAAGAAAAATATGATATGGAGAAAAAATTTTTTTTAATACCTCGACTTGCTATTACGTTGTAAACGTCATCAACTCGGTTTGTCTTCCTTGATTTAAATTCTTAAGTGTTTCGAACTTATTTGTACTGTTTTACTCAAATTAAGGAGTAACCAAGACTGGCAAATGCTAGTCGAAATATTCCCATAAGAAATAAATCATTTAAATATGCGACTACCAATGAAGACAAGCATCCTAACTTTAATTATAAGATTTCATTGAATTTTTCGGAAAATATTCAGTAATAAGTAAAATTTAAAAAAAAAATTAAAATTTTGTAGAAATATTTTAAAGTTTGCCATTGAATTAAAATATGTCCGCATTATGTAAACATACAGGGTGTTTCACAATTGTTGAAACAAAGTAGCGCTCCCTCAGATGGGGAGAGCTGAAGGAACGTGAGGACCTTGATGAGGAGGAACAGTGGTTCTTGCAGGATTATGCTCCTCATCACATTGCTAATATTACTCTGACATGGCTCCCTGAAATGTTTCGGGAGCGTCTCATCAACCGCAAAGCTGAAGTGGAATTGGCACTTCACTCGCCTATCTTGAATCAGATTTCTTCCTCGGGGAGTTCCTCAAAGACAACATCTACCAGGGCAACCCTCGCACCATTGCTACATTTAAGGCAACAATCACTGAGAAGATTCAAGCGATCACCAAGGAGGAATATGTACGCGTTATCAACAACTTTGCATTCAACAGCGCCTTCAACTGAACGACGAAAATCTGGATCATGTACTCTAGGGCTCCTCTTGATATTTTTGGTTAATGTTTGAGACTAAATAGTTGCAGATCCTAAAATGTTATCCTTTTACCTTTCAATAAATTTAATTTCCATTATTCTATCATTTGTGATCCTTGATTTGTGCCCGATCATTTTCTTTCAAAAATTATGAAACATACACACTCGGAGTTATGACTATTTTGTAACTTTTGGAGCCAGTGTCGTTAATCGATGAACTTTTGTTCAAAAGTAATGAAAAAGGCATAAATTTGTTTTAGTTCTTGGAGGAGATCCTCCCTTAACCGAAAATTCGATTTTACCATATTTTACTCATTAAGGGTAAAAAAACAAAAAATATTTCAGAAGCTTTATTTTTCAATTTGCTAATGATGTAATAGGATAGTACTTATGTAGTTTTAACGCATTTAACAGCTTATAATTCTAGCATAACATACAACCTTACAAATAAACAAAAACAAGTTCTAGAAAGTTCCATAAGGTTCTAAAAGGCTTCAGGAATTTCTAGAAGGTTCCAGAAAGTCATAGTCCTACTATACTTATATACAATTTTAGAAATAATCTGTTGGGTGTGACATTTAAAAGAAAAAAAAACTGAATTAAACCCTTCTTCATTATTCTCAACAAAAGTTCATCAAATCAATTATTTTACTAAAAGTCATGAAGTCATAACCCGAATATGCACATATACATTCCCGTGCACAGAATTTCGCTTTTGGTCAGAAGTGGAGTCTTTTCCTTATTTTAGGTGTGAGCTCGGTCCCAGGGATTTTAACCCTGCAGTGGCACCTTCATCGTTGCACTAACAGAGCTCGGATCGTTGTAATATCGACGCCAACGTGACAGTGGTCGAGGGGACTGTGCAGTTTTTGTTCTTTGCCCTATGTAAACAAAACAACCGAATGTCACATTCTGCCTTAATGGGGAGTCCAGGTAAATAAATAATCTGAGAGTCTCCCTCGCTGCCTTCCATTAGCATGGCTGATGCCAACCTCCAGGAAATGACTCTTTACGCCTTTTCGGGATCACGTACTCTGCAGGCATGAAATGGACAGACTATATTGAATCCATTGCTACGTCATATTGGGTTTCATAAAATTATATGTATTTTTGTTTAACGCTAAGAGTGTATTATTGTTTTATTTATTATTCAGCCACGGAGATTTGCTATAATTACAACAGTGACTTACACGCTTTATTGGAAAACCAAGTGAATCTTGAACTGAAAGCGAGTTACTTTTATCAAATTTATGTAAGTATAAGGACCTTTTATTTATTTTCTTATGCTAAAGACCATCAAATAGAAGGCTTAAAAGCCACTCAAAGTAGAGAGTTACTGAATGATGTGCGTAATGTAAACGTAATAGGCAGAAGGTAGTGATTATTATGAAGAAACTAACGATTTAAAAAACGTGTAAACAGAGCCCCTCAAGGTAGAGCATTACTGAATGATGTATCTGATATGAATGTACAGTGATGGAGTAGCAATAGGCTTGTGTAAAGAAGTAACTAACTCAATCACCAAGTTGTCTCTTGTAATATATATATATATATATATATATATATATATATATATATATATATATATTATAATAAAGAGAAAGAACAGTAAGATATATAATCCGGTGTTCTTCTTAATTATTTTTATTTTTACAAAACAGTGCTCAATGCAAATCTACAGAGCATAAATATTATAAATTTACTAATTTAATTTTAAAAATATGGTTCCATAGCTACACAGGAATTACCATGTTTCAAAAACAGAAACTAAAAACTTCAAATTCACTTATAGAATTAAATTAAAGTCACTAGTCCTTTTTCATTTTCAGGCGAAGTTTAGAATAACTTATAACTTATTCCAAATTCGCTAGGCACTGACCAGATTCGACGTTGCTTAACTTTGGTGATCGCACAGGAACTGGTGTTTTGACGGGATATGACCGTAAATCATTCCACTTGTAAATTCAATCTCACAGCACCTGGTATACCTAAGCGGTCACCCATCTAGTTACTGACCAGATTCGACGTTGCTTTATTTTGGTGATCGTACGCCGCTTTGTAATGAAAGTTGAATTCAGATATAGTTTTTTTTTTTCTTTTTGCTCTTGTTTTTCAGGGAAATTATTTCGATCGCAGTGATGTTGCTCTCCCAGGTTTCACCGAATACTTTTTGCGAGAGTCACTACATGAACACACACATGCTGATAACCTACTCCGTTACATCAATCAAAGAGGAGGAAAAACAATATTTAAGAGCATCAATGTAAGTGTGGAAATTGGCCTTGTAAAAACATTTAACTCGTCCACAAAGTAAAAGGAAAAAAAAAAAAAAAAAAGAAAGCAGATCAAGTGTAAATCCAATATTTTTATATTTCAGAAATTTATTGAAGCGATTTAAAAAAAAAGTTTCTCCTAATAAAGAATAGTTTTTGTACAACAACAAATAAACTAGACACAGGAAAATTTCTTAATGACAACTCTTATTCCTTGAATTGGGACAGATATTCCGATTAGCATGCACACAGACTACTTAACATATTGTCAGCTTATTTATACCTAGTCCACGGATGTAGCGGTAGACAAAAGAATGGATGCAAATATTTAACAATAAATGCTCAGCTCATTTTAAATATGTTGTCCTTTTATTTATATCTGGTGCACGGATATAGTAGTAGACAAAGAATATGTGCAAATATTTAACAGAAAAAAATCTGTTTGCTCATATCTATGTATCTATTTATGGATAAATCTATGCCTTTCATTATCTATCTATCTATCTATCTATCTATCTATCTATCTATCTATCTATGTGAGTCTGTTTATATCTATCTATCTATCTATCTATCTACTAAAAGGAGAATTAGGGGGAATTTCAGTTATATAACGGTCAAAAAAGAATTACCAGATTCCAATTCAGAACGGGGGAGGTATTGACGAAACATGTGATCTTAAAAGGAGGAGTGTCATAAGGGGATTCCCAGAACCGCTAATCTCAATAAACTTATACATTTTGGCAATTTCTTTATGTAGATCAATTATCTCCTGAACGTTGATTAAATTTCTCTTAAATTTCTTTTCCACAGATCACTGACATCTGCGACTCTGTAGAAAACATAGCTGTAAGTATTGGACGTTTTTAGCTTTCAATTTTAATGGCAAATGAAGTTCACCTTTACAGCGTAAAAGTAATGATCCTTAGACTATATTATTTTATGACTAGTGCTACTGTTCTGGCGATGAAATTAGCTGTTTAAATTATATATAAAGCCTAATATGTAAGATGCCAACAAACGCGATAAAAAATAATTGGACAATAAATAAATAAAAATGAGTTGTATCTATATTTCACAAATAAGCCTAATTCATGAAAACATTCAGAACATTCGAGAAAACAAATTGTACTCAAAAACATAAAAAAGGGAGAGAGAATAGGGGGCCGATATTTTATACAATATAAAAGGCTCAAACGCTAATATTCCATGGTCATAGTTTATTATATTGGAATCGTAATCACGATCCAATTAATCAGACCTACAAATTCAAAAAAGAGAAAAGGAAAAAGAAATAGGGAGAGAGTATAAGAAGACAAGGGAATGATGAAGAGGACAGATAACCACAACATTCGATACCTGCGCAGACAAAAGAGGAAAAAAAAGGTTCTGTCTGTGATACTGGATATGATATTGTTACATTATCTTTGACACTCAAGGCCGTAAGAGAGAAGGAAAAGAAATAGGGAGAGAGTATAAGAAAACAAAGGAATGATGAAGAGGACAGATAACCACAACATTCGATACCTGCGCAGACAAAAGAGGAAAAAAAAGGTTCTGTCTGTGATACTGGATATGATATTGTTACATTATCTTTGACACTCAAGGCCGTAAGAGAGAAGGAAAAAGAAATAGGGAGAGAGTATAAGAAAACAAGGGAATGATGAAGAGGACAGATAACCACAACATTCGATACCTGCGCAGACAAAAGAGAAAAAAAAAAAGGTTCTGTCTGTGATACTGGATATGATATTGTTACATTATCTTTGACACTCAAGGCCGTAAGAGAGAAGGAAAAAGAAATAGGGAGAGAGTATAAGAAAACAAGGGAATGATGAAGAGGACAGATAACCACAACATTCGATACCTGCGCAGACAAAAGAGAAAAAAAAAAGGTTCTGTCTGTGATACTGGATATGATATTGTTACATTATCTTTGACACTCAAGGCCGTAAGAGAGAAGGAAAAAGAAATAGGGAGAGAGTATAAGAAAACAAGGGAATGATGAAGAGGACAGATAACCACAACATTCGATACCTGCACAGACAAAAGAGAAAAAAAAGGTTCTGTCTGTGATACTGGATATGATATTGTTACATTATCTTTGACACTCAAGGCCGTAAGAGAAAAGGAAAAAAATAGGGAGAGAGTATAAGAAAACAAGGGAATGATGAAGAGGACAGATAACCACAACATTCGATACCTGCGCAGACAAAAGAGAAAAAAAAAAAGGTTCTGTCTGTGATACTGGATATGATATTGTTACATTATCTTTGACACTCAAGGCCGTAAGAGAGAAGGAAAAAAGAAATAGGGAGAGAGTATAAGAAAACAAGGGAATGATGAAGAGGACAGATAACCACAACATTCGATACCTGCGCAGACAAAAGAGAAAAAAAAAGGTTCTGTCTGTGATACTGGATATGATATTGTTACATTATCTTTGACACTCAAGGCCGTAAGAGAAAAGGAAAAGAAATAGGGAGAGAGTATAAGAAAACAAGGAATGATGAAGAGGACAGATAACCACAACATTCGATACCTGCGCAGACAAAAGAGAAAAAAAAAGGTTCTGTCTGTGATACTGGATATGATATTGTTACATTATCTTTGACACTCAAGGCCGTAAGAGAAAAGGAAAAAGAAATAGGGAGAGAGTATAAGAAAACAAGGGAATGATGAAGAGGACAGATAACCACAACATTCGATACCTGCGCAGACAAAAGAGAAAAAAAGGTTCTGTCTGTGATACTGGATATGATATTGTTACATTATCTTTGACACTCAAGGCCGTAAGAGAGAAGGAAAAAGAAATAGGGAGAGAGTATAAGAAAACAAAGGAATGATGAAGAGGACAGATAACCACAACATTCGATACCTGCGCAGACAAAAGAGAAAAAAAAAGGTTCTGTCTGTGATACTGGATATGATATTGTTACATTATCTTTGACACTCAAGGCCGTAAGAGAGAAGGAAAAAGAAATAGGGAGAGAGTATAAGAAAACAAGGGAATGATGAAGAGGACAGATAACCACAACATTCGATACCTGCGCAGACAAAAGAGAAAAAAAAAGGTTCTGTCTGTGATACTGGATATGATATTGTTACATTATCTTTGACACTCAAGGCCGTAAGAGAGAAGGAAAAAGAAATAGGGAGAGAGTATAAGAAAACAAGGGAATGATGAAGATGATAAATAGCCAACAAAATGAATAAAAAGTCAAGACAAAAAACTCGTCTTAGACAATGCGTTTCGTCATTTGAAGGACATTTTTAAAATTGCTTCCCTTGATAAAGTTCCTCAGAGGACGAAACGCGTCGACTAAGAATAGTTTTTCATCTTGTCATTTTATTCATATATATATATATATATATATATATATATATATATATATATATATATATATATATATATATAACATATACCTAAAAAAATAGAAAAAAAGGTTCTGTCAAATATTATTTACAATTTAAATGCCAATTAAGAAGAATTGCATTCCTGATCAATCAAAAAACATAAATAATTATATAACCACAACATTCGAACCTGCGCAGACTAAAAAATGTTTGACACGCAGACTCTATGATATTTCTTACAATAGCTCAATTAGATCTCATTTAAATATTCATGGAAAAGACCTAACGGACACTATTCGGAACATACTTGATGAAGAACACTAATATAATAGCATCATCTACATGCAAAAGAAAAAAAAAAGCTAAAAATAATGAAAGCCTTATTAAAAAAAACAAACAAACAAACCAAAACTCAATAATATTAACTTTGAACATGGACAAAATATCTTGACCGTGTTTTGAAAACATTTTTAAAATTGCATTTTATAAAACATACATGCAACAAACTATTTTTATTTTAACAGTTAAAATATTTAATCTTTATAAAATGACTAAATATTATAGCCAAATATTATTTACGAATAAAAATTAAGAACATTCGATCAATTTTATATAATTTATAAACCGAAAAAAAAAAAAATTACGCAGACTCTACACATTTCTGAAATTGTATAAAAATTAATTTAAAGCATTCTTGTCTGTCACTTTCAATGAAATGTGCATGAAATAAGGATTCATCTGCCTAAATAGAAAAAAAAAGCTTTATTAAAGACATTTTTTTATTTATGTTTAATGTTAATGTCTTTAATAAATAAATGGACAAAATATCTTGTCCATTTTTTAAAAAATATATATATATATATATATATATATATATATATATATTTATATAATAAAATATTTAACCAAGTGAAAATGATCTTATTCGGTTGGTGTTTTTTTTTCTTTTGACTAAAGGATTTTCGTGTTTTTGATATAATTTCAAACAAAAAAAATGTTTTATTATTTTCGCATGAGAAATTTTACTGAATTTTTTCTCCGATACCAATTTGTTTAAGTAAATTTGCAAATTGCACTATCCTGTTTTTTTCAATCTTCTGGTATAGGTATAAATTATACACACACACACACATATATATATATATATATATATATAACCAACTGGATGAACTATCTCAGTTGGTGTTTTTTTTACCTTAACAATGAACATGTTAGTAATATCTTTCAAACCTAACGGATGTTTTTAGTCTTTTTAATTTTTTTTTACTGAATTTTTCTGATACCAATTTGTTTAAGAAATTTGAAAATTGTAATAAACTATAAGCATGGAATATATATATATATATATATATATATACACACACACATACACATATACACATATATATATATATATATATATATATATATATATATATATATATATATATATATATATATACAACTGGATGAACTATATATATATATATTTACCTTAACAATATATATATTATAAAATCACAAGACCTATAAATATAAAAAGCTTTTTAAATTTAGGTATGATGAATATATATATTACGATTCCAATGTAATAAACTATAAGTATATATATATATATATATATATATATATATATATATATATATAAGTATATATATATATATATATATATATATATATATATATATATATATATATATATATATATATATATATATATATATATATATATATATATATATATATATATACAAGTATATATATATTTATATATATATATATATATATATAAAGACATTTTTTATGTTTAACGTTGTTATTTATAGATACAAGTATTTAAGCAAATGCTCTGTTTATGATAAACAGTATTAAATAACATTTACCGGCCTGAATGTCCGAGAAATTTTCATAGAAAATATTCGTTCTTTGACAGGATTCGAACCTGCATCCTATACGGAACCGTCATTTACGCTGACGTGCCTAACTTCTGGGCCACAAAGAACCTTTCGGTAGACAAGGTCGAATTTACTGCAGTAAAGCTATACATTTAGCCATTTTCAAGAAATATTTTAACTGTTAAATAAGAAATAGTTTGTTGTATGTATTTATATAATGTTTTCATTTTTCAAAACACTGTCAGTTTTTATATAATTTATCATCTAAAAAGGAAAAAAAATAGATCACATGAGAAATCGCATAAAAAAAATTAAATCAAAGCACCTTGTCTGTCGTATTCAATGAGATGTGCATCAAAGAAAGATTGCTGCCTAAATACACACACACACACACACACACACACACACACACACACACACACACACACACACACATATATATATATTTGAATAAAAGACAGACCACGTTAAGATTCCATGTAATAAGCTATTTCACCATAACGTCTGATGAACAGGGTTCTGTTAAAGGGTTATGGTGAAATAGCTTATTACATGGAATCTTAACGTGGTCTGTTTTTATTCAAATATATCTGCTTTGAATTTTACATTGAGCTCTCTGGATATCATCCTCCTCAGGTCTACCCATACGGATTACCTAAGTTTGCATAAAGTTTGCATATATATATATATGTATATATATAAGCATAGGATTGGTGTATACGGAATAAATTCCAATAATCAAAAAATACTATCCTTAAAAGAGTGCTCAATGCAGTGTAGAGAAAAAATATAATTATTTATTCGGTGTCTTATCAAGTGATGGTGTTGAATCTCTACAACACGCGCGAAAGCTCATGGCTCAGGCCACTACAACACGCGATCACTTGATAAGATACCAGAAGTGTTGAAACGAAATCGCTATTTTTGTAGTGATTTTATTACATATTTATGTTATAATTTTCGAATAAATGATTATATATATATATATATATATATATATTATGCATGACGTCACAGACCATTTCAAGAATTTTACGTAAACTTAGGCATCCGTTTATCTAGTGAGATAATAGTAGAAATCTATTTGGTCAAAATTCAGTGCATTGTAAGTGAGACTGGAGGTTCTCCAGGGCGTAGGCCTTAGTGATGGTATATGAAGGCCGTATGCTACTCAGACGACAAAGGAACACACGCCATTACATTTGGAGGTGGCTTGCCTTCATGATTGTAGGAAGTTTGTTACAGAAACGTCGAAACGTAATTATGTCGTTGAATATTTTGTACAAATATTTGTATAAATTTCAAATTTGTTAATAACTTTTTCTTTTTAATTTACAGTTCTGCGAATACATTGTCTTCAATAATTACATGGACAACGTAAGTGAAATACTTTTGTTCATTTCGAAGTATTGTATTTTATGTCGCAGTGACCCAAATAGGAAAAAGAAAGAAAAGGAAGTTAGTGTGTTGCCCTAATATCTCAAGAGAATTTACTTGTTTTTAATTTTTTACCTGGTTTTTCATTCAATACAGAACCCAAATGTCATTCAAGATAGAAGGTTACTGAATTGTTGCGGTGTCCTTCCTCGTAAGAGTCGATGTTAGACTTTTCCTCTTACTATAAGATTAGTAGGACAGAAGGATTCGGGGAACGGTGCTCCAAACTGTTCAACTGTCGAACTCTCTGCCTTGAGCAGAAAGGAACCCGGACGAAGCTTTGCCGAAGAGTAAAGTTTCGTCCGGGGAGGTAGACAGGCCCTGAACCCGTTTATGCGGGTTTTAAAGGAATATTTTTGTCCGAGCCTACGGGCTCGGAGAACCCACGGTAAACTCAGCCTTGTGCCACATACATCCCTCGTCGGGGGGGGGGGGGCGCTGTTAAATATAACAGTGGTCTAAACTGTTCTACTGAGGCTTTTCGAAGCTCCTGTCGAACTCTCTGCCTCGGCAGAGAGGAACCCGGACGAGGCTGTGCCGAAGGGCAGAGTTTCGTCCGGGGAGGTAGACAGACCCAAACCCGTTTATGTAAGTTATACGGGGATTTTTTGGCCGAGCCTACGGGCTCGGATGACCCACGTTAAAGTCGGCCTTGTGCCACGTATATCCCTCTTGGGCGGGAGGTGGGGGGGCTGTTAAATATTAACAGTGAACAATGAATAGATTTAGAGCTAGTTCATTTGTTACACTCTTACTAGTCATGTAATACTCTTCTGGTGTACTTACTGTTTAATATACGATCTATCTGCAAACCTGGTTTTTGTTATTACTTAACCATTTACTTGGTCACAACATCTTGGCCTTCTGTCCTACTAATCTTTTAGTAGGCGGAAGAGTCTAACATAGACTCTTTAGAGGGAGGATACCACAATATGAATGCAGGTGTTGTGTGAGCGTAAAAAGAGGCAGCAAGAAATACAAGTTATGAGGATATGTAGGAAATAATATTTAACCCTATACCGGTGCTACTCAGTGGTGATCCGCGGACCGGCGCCCGTACGCGAACTATCAGTTATCGATACGTGGCCGGTGTCAAGGAATCATTTGAAGAATTGGTAGATGCCAGTCAAACGGTACACTGCCAAAGCCAGGTCTGTCAGAATTTTTACTTTCGTACCAAACTTGGTCCTTTTTGCTTTCAGATGAAGGTTTTGGTACGATCGATGCAGAAACTTAAAATATTTAGTGCTATCTGAAATAAATTTATTTAATTAACTATTAAAGCAAAGCACAGGAATAATATGGATATTCATTCTCCATTGTGCGTTGCACTGTCCTCAATTGAACCACGACTGGATAAACTGACAAAGAAGAAGCAGCCTCGCCTTTTATACGAGAAAAAATTAAGTGACCCTGGGTTTCATGCTTTTGCGATCGTCAGACAATCAGTTTGTCTAACGACCGCAAAAGCGTGAAACCCAGGGTCACAAACTCACATCAATCCAACTAAATATGTTAACTCTATCTCTGATGTTGAGCGCTTTCCAATAAGTACCGCGCATATAATATATAAATAATATATAAATTTAATTTACACACACACACACACACACACACACACACACACACACACATTTTATATATATATATATATATATATATATATATATATATATATATATATATATATATATATGTATGTATGTATTTATATCATAATACATTGGGGAAATATGCAGAAATAAAAAAAAACGTATCTATGAGGAGGCAGTAATGGATGGTGGCTCGGATTGTGAAATCGGAGAACCGAGTTCGAATTCCAGTCAGATCCCACGAGTGCGTAAATGCTAATACCCTTGAGAAAGATATGAATCCTCGTCTTTTTCCCCTAGCTATAGGTAAATAGCAAGACAGACCGGGTTCTATAGCCTTGGATGGCAACTGGCCTATTGCAGAAAGAAATGGCAACCTTCTACAGGAAAAAAAATCTGCCTCGTCAGTTATGTATCGAAAGATACTTTATCTCCTAAGCGTGTATCACGCATGGCACAT